GTGGCCAAGCTGGTCTTTTGAAAGATTAAACATATTAAAAGATTTAGAAGGAAACAGTGAAAATGATGATGCTCTGGCGTGCCCCGTCACTATTGTCTGGATCTCTGATGGGCATCGCAGAGATCACAATTAGTTTATTAGAAACTACTGTATCCAGGTGGCAACGTCTATCAACACTACCAAGTGGGATCAGATATCGATAGTCCTCAAATAAGTTTAACATTTAAGTAAACTATGAAATTTTAACATTATAAACATGTAAAGAACAGTATAGCTTTCAAAGTTTAGTGTTTTAACATAGCTGGTGGTCTTTTACATTCACCTGAAAGTTCCATTTTTTCTAATCATAACTTTTTGTTATTATTTGTTAGCTCAGTATTTATATAAGCCCAAACCCAGTTCTTTAATATTAAAAAAAAAAAGTGACAGAACAATTAAAAATCTCTCCTTAGGCAAGAGAAAAAGAAAAAAAAAATCAAGCTTTGCTTTTGCGGTGGTAAGAATAAAACAGTATTTGGTTTTAATTTTAGCCACTGTCCTACTGTAGAGCTCTAAGACTTCCACAAGCCCGTTTTTGACCAATTTTGATCCCATTCAATAACACTTCTCATTTCTGGCCCTGCTGTTATTCTTATAATGATTTCATCAACTTGATGAATAAATGGTATTTCCAGAGAGGTAAAATACTAGCTAATAAGACAAAATAAATTAAGAGGAATGAGGAAATTTATGTGAGAATAAGCTTGATTTAATATACCTTATGGTTAATAAATTAAATTTTTATATAGACCTGCTCATTTGTAGAAGTCAATTTTCTAATGCAAATGTCTTAATTTTTTAAAGGACACAGACAAAAGTATTGGTATAATCAGTTTATGAAGCCTCTCCCTATTATGAAATTTAAATAAAAGATAAACGAAAATTGGATTTGTGCAACTGAGTGGGAAGCAACCACTGACTTAACTTTATTAAAGAGTGTTATTTTATGGAATTTAATCTAAATATTATGTATCACCTTTCAAAAGTTGTAAACTGATTTCTTTTCAAAGTTATAAACTGATCTATATTTCACACGCACAGATACACACACACTACACATTCTTAATAATTGTAAATCTTTGTTTTTGAAGGCATATTTATTAGTCCAAAGTCTGATGAATATAGTAGCACAGTTCTGAAACTATAAAGGAATAATTTATGTTACAATGTCATAAGCAGATTCTGAAGGAAACTTCAAAAGAGAGCTTCCAAAAACTATTTGAGCAATAGCAACATAATTGGATCATATATATCACCACTAAAGGTGATTCATTTCAAAGTACAGCATCTGTATGGCCACTCCAAAAATATGAATCTCATTAGTTTGTAATTATTGGGATATAACCTAGTTTGAATAGATTTCTTGTATAGTTCATGGGTGTGCTCTTTATACTCAATGAAATAAGATGTTTAAATATCTGAGCATAAGATTCAACTAAGATAAATAAAAAGGAGCTTTCAGTAGTTATAGAAACAGGTGTTAGGTGAAACTGCCCTAGTAACTCAGATGCTACAAAACATGTTCCTCTAGGCTAATGCATCCCATCAGAACCTTCAGAGCTGAATGATTAACAAGCAGATGCTCTATATTCAATAACAGGATATATCCCCAAGAGGAGAAATGCAGATGTGATGTATTATGCTTCCCCTCCACAAAATAACACACAAAAAAAGCAGTTATTAAGCGCTTACTTTTTTGCATGGCAATTTAGAAGTTCAAATAAGAGAAATTAGGTATTTTTGAATAAATAAACACAGAATAAAGCTTGAAAATATTGTAAACATTGTAATGTGGAAACAGACTAGAGGGTTCAGTTATCTGTTTTAATAATAGCAGTCATAATAATTCTAAATTAAAGGCTAATCAAATAGGCTCTATTGTAAAGAGAAAGGCCTATATCATTTTGTAGCATTATAACGTGTGAAACACTATCTAATATCTCATTAATTCTCAGTTATATTGTCTATCGTTCTGATTTTTTCACACTATATATTATTCAAGATAGAAACCTATTATTCTTTTTAGAAATAGTTCTGAACAATGAGAATTTGTCACATTGGGGAATTATAATTAATCCAATTCTGCGTACCTGTGGGGTAAAAACAACCTAGATTTGTTATACAATATCCATACACTGCAAACTTTTAATAAATAGTATCATTCAGTAGCAGTATCCACTAGGGACCTGCACTGATGTCATGTGTAGATTTGCTTAAAATGATCATTCTTAATTCACAATTCATATGTTAATAACTAATAATCAGGAGGCTGTGACACCCCCATTTACTTTACAATTTCTTCTTCTATTGAATTTTGAGGAGTAGCAGATCTTCTACTGGAAACATTCAAATTATTTAATTTAAAGAAATTAAAGTATGTATTTGAAGGAATTACTGTCCAATTATGCTGTGAATCTGAAGGAAGAATATGAGTCTGATAAGGATATTGAAGATATCATGTAGGAACATATAAATGTTTGATTCAGGTAAAATTTGGGGGGCAAACAAAAGATTGCATTTCATTGATGATATAAACAGTATGGAGAAATACCAGGAAAGAAAGAAAAAATAAAGGACCATGACATGAGTCTGAGCTTAGAAAAGATTATTCTAGATAAATTCTGTTAATGGAAGAAGATGAGAGTAGAAACAGAGAATTATTAACCATTTATGAAATAAATATATTCTGTGTAACAGTTTTAAATAAAACATGTATTTTGAATAAATATTAATAAAGAAGAATATTATATAAACAGACAATAAATATTCATTTAAGAAAAATGTTGAAATAACTGGTGGCAAATGGTACCAAAAAGAACTAAAATAATCATAATCCACTTTCCACAACTATTCACATTCCTTATGAAACCAAGTTTTCACAAATCTCATAATAAATATTTTGTCAAAAGGTTTAATACTACACAATAATACTCTTTTTATTATGTACTTTGATAAAATTAAAAGGAAAACATTTAACTCCCACTGGCAGTTTTTATATAGAAGGAGTGCCTGCTTTCCTAAATGACAAATTTTCTCAATGCTGATCTGTATATGAAATATTTCATTAAAATATTCCTTAAGAATACCTTTTTGTTCTATTCTAAAAGTCTGTGCTGAAATCACAACAAAAACATCTGGTCACATCTAAAAACAAAAATACTTTTAAACCATAATTTAAACTTTATGATGTTCAGATCACTGTAAAGTAAAATAAATATTTAGGGAAAAAAATACTCCATTGCATTTGCCAGAAGTTTTCTTAGTAGGCAGATAAATTATTAAAATAACTTTAAAATAATAAAATCACACCAAGAAATAGTTATATACTTAAATATCATTTATACTATGTTAAAATTAATCCTCACTATGCAAAAATCATAATTCTTTTGCATTGGCACCAAAATTGTTTGGCAGGCAACAGAGCAAGGTGTGGGGTGTAAGATGGGAGAGGAATGAGCCTGGGCTAGAAAGGCATCTTGCTCATTAAGGATTGATACAGAGAAAACTCAACTAAGGTTGAGAAATACAGAATCTTTGGGCAACCCAGTGAACACTAATGCATCAAGTTAGGGCAAAAAGAAGTCAGGAACTAGACAAGAGGAGTCATAGCAAGGGATGAGTTTGCTATTGAGTCATGTGATTAGATTGCTCCTAAAAATGGGCCACACAATATTGACTAGACTGGGAGAAAATGATAGGGAGCTCATATAATTGAGAGTTTATCTAATTCTGTGATTCCATTATCAAAGGACTTATAATAAGTATCATGCAATAAGGCATCCTTGGGGTTTATGAAAGATTTTTGTGACATCTACTTCATTTTCTTCCACTGAATTTTTAATCTTTCAAATTTACTCCTACAGGTAAAAATCCCCACCCAGCCACTTTTGGAGGAAGGTAGAAATCAGGAAGTCTGGAACCAGTTGAAATAAGTTAGGTTTATGAATTGAAATGACCCTACCTTGTACCTAAATTCCAGTAACTGGGCTAGATTACCCCCTCCTTCCTATAAAATCAGGCTGCCTTTTGTTCATTGGCTTCAGTAACCATTTCCTGCTCTTGTCTCTCAGACTTAACTCCTTTCCGCAATTACTTGTCTAAGAAGGAATCTAGTGCTGAGATCTGTTTTTTCTCTTCAGACCAGCCTCTGACCCCTACATCTCAGGACCTGACTCCCTTTTCCTGATGTTGCTGGTCTGCCTGGGCCTTTTATTTATTGCTAACACAACAGGTGTGCCACCTACTTTATCCTTATAAATGTGTCTGGTCTTCAGGCTCCTGGCATTTCTCTTTGATCCATCCCATTGTCCTAGAACCTAGAAGATACAACGCCTTCTCTACCATTAGCATTCTTCATAGTACTTAGTTCAAACTTGAGGCTGTGCTTGATAAATGCTGGTTAGCTGGATGAGAAGCAAAGTTATGATGCCAAGTTTCAGTATCATTAAGTTATAACTGTAAAAATTTGTTTTAAATAAAGTGTTTGACACAATATGATTTTTATCCTTAAATGAATAGCATGTTTAGTGCCAGTTATATATTTGATAATGCAATATTCTATCATGGAAGGTCACTTTACCATTTTCTTTTTTCATTCTGCTCATTTTATTAATTTTCTGCACTTTATCATTTTAGTTTTTCCTCCTCATTTTGTTATTTTGGGCATTTTTCTTAATGTTTTAATTTTCTCATTTCCTTATTCTTTAATGTTGATGTGATATTTTATATTGTGTTTTCCTCTGTGGTAGTTTATCCTCAATTCTTTTTTTATTTAAAATTTATAACCAACATAATTTAATCTGGGACAGCATAATGGGTCCAAGAAATAAAAGTCAATAAATAAAACAGTGCTAGTTTTTTGGCTGAAACCTGAAAAAAATCCACTTCAAAGGATGAAGGGTCCATTAATAGGGGCATTAAGTTAAATAGAAATAATCTTATTAGCAACATAGGAACTTTACCTGCTGAAGTTGGCTCTTCTTCATCTGATGCTATCATAAGAGGAAAAGAGGTGAAGTGGGGACAGGGAAAGGGTGGGGGTGGGGAGGGGTGGGGAGGGAGAGAGAGAGAAAAAGAGAAGTTGAACATAAATAGAACATAAATATATTCTGCATTTTCAAACAATGACTATAAGCTCCTGACTTGTAATTTTCTGAATACATTAGAAATCTGCCATTAGATAATTGGATAATGACAAATTAATGGGCATTTACATTAAATTAACATTTATATACTTCTATACTCTAAAATACATATTTATTAGAAAAGACCATTCAGTTGTCTGAATCTGATTTCCCTTCCTTTTTGCAAACAAGATTGACTTTATTTAGTTTGAGTGTAAATTATAATTATTATGAATTATATTATTTAAAAATATAAATTGTATATAACATATGAATACCCTACCATCACCACTTTGTGGGAATTTTCTGTTAGCAAAGAGGAATCAAAAGGCATTGTGGATAGTAAAAATTTTGTTCCATGAAGTAGACATTTTATAAAAGAGATAGAGGTTACACACAAACCCACTCAACTCACACGTATCACACACTTTAAGATTCAGAAGTGGTGATTCTGTGGCGAAGCCACAAAAACCTGAATTTTGAAGGTTGACCCCAAGTGGTTTTGACGCCGTGGTCTACAACCCACAAGCGATAAACAGGGATATTATAAAAGGAAAGGCCACAATATGAAAATACAACTTTATGCTAAAGCAGTGGTTCACAACCACGAATTTATATTAGAATGCCGAACTCTGGGCCCTACCTCAAACCAATTAAGTCAGAATCTCTTTCAATGGTATTAACTTGTAGCCAGGATTGAGGCATTACTAGATAATATAAGGTAACATGAACTATAACTCAAAGTGGGAATCATTCTGATTCCTGTTTTAAAAGGGAGGAATTAAAAAAAAAATTGAGGGGGTGGTGCAGAGAGAGAGACAGAATCTTAAGCAGACTCCATGCCCAGTGTGGAGTCCCCAACGGGGCTCGACCTCACAACCCTGAGATCATGACCTGAACAGAAATCAAGAGTCGGACACTTAACTGACTGAGCCATTGAGGTGCCCCAAGACATTACTAAATAACATCAATATAAGGTAACATGAACTATAACTCAAAGTGTGATTCAGTCTGATTCCTGTTTTAAAAGGGACGAATTTTTAAGAGCAGCCAGTCTCCAAGGGTAATAATCTGCTATGTGTATGTAGGGGGTGTTGTAAGAGTGAAAAAAAGAGTTTATCTGAAGTTGCTTCACAATTTTGCCTAGAATCCACCTCTTCACCTTTACACTAACAGACAGACTCTGTGAGGGGGTATTTCTGCTCTGTACACAAGCGCAGCTTACCCCAAATATTACCGTTGAGTTACATGACACCAGCCGGTACTATTTCATTTGATCCATGAAGTTTTAAAATAAAAATTTACTCAGCTGAATTGCTTATAAAGGAGCTTTGTTCCCAGGTGATTCATTAATCAAGGTATCACTGTGTAGCCAGGGAGAGGTCTCTACTCTTTCCCATTAAGGTTACCTGTGCACAGAGCATACCTTTAGACAAACTGACTCTGTGTCCTGACAGTATTTTCCTCTCACACGGTTTGGCTTGTCTCCTTGGCACATAAAAGAATGGAGAGAGCAAACACACTTGGCGTTCATGGTGTGGAGAACATAAATATTTAAAAAGCCGTTTGCTGCTTTATTATGTCCAAAATATACCTTAACATGTTCGAAGTGGAAAACTGTCAGTAGCTTCCAGGAATTCCCTTTTAGGAAAATACCATAAAGCCTTGTAGAACTGTCGACTTAAATGGTCATTATTAGTAAAAGTCTGGAGAGTCAAAGTGTGTGTGGGGGGAAAGGAACTCAATTTATAAAGCTATGATGAGATGAAAATTACTTATATTTGATACAGAGGTTTAGAGTGACTGAGCAATTTGTCTAAAGTCAATCTGAATTTGAGCTCATGTCAATGTGACTTTCAAACCAAAATCTTTCCACTATGCCTTACTTTCTCCCAAAGTGTTGACTCAGTATCCACTAAGAGATAAAGGGAAAAAGGGGTATAGAGTCACATAGTGAGGACTGGCTAGATCTCTGATAGTGTTACTCGGACTTAAGCATAATGGGGAAAAAAAACTGGATGTAGGGACCGGGAAACTTCTTTAGGTCCCTTACAATCCAGGGATAGACACTGGCAGGTGAGATCTAGAGTGTGTAGTTAAAATATCCTAAGCATGTGATGCCTAAGGAAGATTAGAAATGCTAAGATTTTATCCCTCCATTATATATGGATAAGCAAGAAATTTTCGGAAAGAACTATCCAGCACAGAAACAAAGACAATTAAATTTATAGATGTCTTAGCAAGTAGAATGTCTTAAAACCAAAGCCTGTGGAGTAAGCAGTGCACTAACCTACACTTAAGCCTGTAATACCTAAAAATATCTTTGTAACAGATTAGCAATATTAGAGTCAGCAGATACACAGGTCTGCATAGAATTCTGTTTCTATACATCTCCATAATGGCGGTTCCTCGTAATACAAAGATGTCACTAACCAGTACTCATACTATTAAAATACACACACACACACACACACACACACACACACAATCACAAAGGCACATACATAGGGTTAGTATTACTATTAATTCACTCTTGCAGTTATCTCTAGCAAAGAGGGTCTTGTAGGTGGCTAGCTACTTTACCAAATAGAGCATCATGAACTATTAACAGGTGGCAGCCAGAGACCCAAAGGTACAAATAAGCCTCAAAGTAGACATTAGTGGCCTATTTAGCAACATTTAAGTAAAATAATTACCACAGAAGATAATGCCATGCTACCCAAATGATTTTTCACTTTTCCTATTTGCTTCTCAGAACTCATTGAAATCAGCAAATCAAAAAATATGTCTTTGTCACATGCAAGTTCCTTTAATCCCAGAAATTAAAAACACATGCACCGGGGCGTCTGGGTGGCTCAGTCAGTTAAGGGTCTGACTCTTGATTTTGGCTCGGGTCATGATCTCAGGGTCGTGGGATGGAGCCCTGAATCAGGCTCTATGATCAGTGCAGAGTCGGCTTGAGATTTTCTTTCCCTCTCCCTCTGCCCCTTCCCCCTCTTGCATTCTCCTTCTCTCTCATAAATAAATAAAATATTTACAAAAAAACAAAACAAAACAAAACAAAACAAAACACATGCACTAAGCAAAACAAAGCTAAACAAATAACTCTGTATTGCTCTGCCTGGTCACAGTGCAGAAGGATGTACTGAAATGACGGTGACAGTAGAAAAACAGACAGCAAAAATATACATCTGATATAGACAACTTAGATGTGCGGCCCTCTCATTGCTCATAACATCACCCTGGTGTTCATTAAAATGCCCCAGATCTACTGAATTTGAATTTGGGTGTTAGTTCAGGTTTCTGCATTTTAAAAAAGTGCAGCAGGTGACTGTTACAAACATTAAATGTTGAGAATGATGGCTATACCCATCAAAATTTATTGCAATAAGAAAGAGCCACGGGTGCAGTTGTTGGAACTGCAGCAGCAAATTAGCAGGCTTATAGGAAACCCTTCACAATATGTAATGGGGTTGCTTTACCAGCTCTCAAAGCTCTTTCTCTTGTATCATCTTCAGATTTATTTGGATATCTACATCAATACTTTGGAGGAAGATAACTTATCCTTTGGATATAGAGGGGAAGCTTGTATCTCAGAACTAAATAAATCTTTTCCATTTTCCTGGCCACCATTATTCATCTAGGTAAGCATATGACCCATTTGGGGACAATGATGTGTAAGATCAAGTTTGTGTGTGCTTGGGTGAGGTGAGGCTCTTGGAAAGGAGGTTTCTTTAATCTTCTGAGAAAGTGTCTGGAAAAACCCTCTTTCTCTTCCGTTTAGACCCAGACAGGAAGCCTGTGGTCCCAGAAGTGAGCTGGCAGACATTTTGCAACCATGATGGGAGCCAGCGTTAGAAAGAAGCCAATCCTGCTCAAAGGCAGAATGGAAAAACAGAAAGAAATTAGATTACTGATGATATGGTTCAGCCACTAAATCATATTCTTACCCAAATCTGGACCTTCAATTCTGAGGAAAAATTCTTCTACTTTATTGTTTATCTAGTTTTAGTTTTCTCTAATTTGCAACTACATGACATTCTGCCACTACTATAACCAGTTTTGTTGTTCCCATTTAAAATATATTAGAACACATAAGGAATTAATTATCTCTGAGGCAGGTGAGGTGGAAAGTACATACAGCCTCGGGCATTGCATTCTGAGGGCAGCTGGGCTTTCAGCACATAATTTTTCCACAGAGCTCATGACCATGTTTTGATACACTAAACCTACTGTGATTTTGAAGTTGGTCACTGTTTATTTAGGATGGTCTGACAGCGTACATGTTCATGAACTGGGTTAGTAGGTGGCAGAAGAAGGCAACCTGTGGACTCCCCTTCCTTCTTTTCTCCTTCCTTCCCAACCTTTCTCTTTTGTTCCATAGGCTCAACTGTCAAGTACAGTAACTACCCAAACCGGATGGGCTGTGTACTACAGGGATACACATATGATATTAAAACACACACACTTCTTCACTGGACAGGCTTCAGTTCTATATGGTATCAACAATTCTTATATCTCCTGTCTTCCTTTGTCTTATCCTTGGGTGTTTTAAGTGAACTTTTATAACCTGGAAAGTCTATCCATTCCAAAAACAATTCTATACCCACTGTGGCTCACCATCAAATAGGAATAGTTCATTATGAAAGACACAAAATACATTTCTTAGAATATTATAATCTATTTTACATATGGATGTTACTCAATTCATATTGATTTAAGGATCATTTTGTTTGCTATATTATAAATCTAGTTAATTATGTACCAGATATGCTCTGCAAGTTTGAAATTATCTTGTAATTCATTATTTCCATAAACAAAGAAACAAGAAATATATACTCTTAAATTCTGACAATATTTCAGAAGTT